GCAGATAGAATTCAGATCTAAAGGAAGAAATATAAAGCAACTAAAATGGTAAAAACATGGATTATTTAAAATAATTTTTTCTTTTTTGAATTTTCTTAGAAGACAACTGACTGCTTAACCAAAAATTATAGCATCATATGGCAAGGTGTATGACATGTGTATATGTAAAGCATATAGCAACAAAGAACAAAGGATCATGTCAGAGTGGATAAGTGGATCTATATTGTTGTAATGTTTATATATATTAGATGAAGTACAGTATCAAATACTCTTATTCACAAATTATCACTACCCTGGCTTCTCTAAACTCTAGATTCTTGTTCAACTCATAGATTTCACTGAATTTTGCATACCCACTCCCTGTGCTGTGGCCTAGAAAATCTTTTCAGGCACAAAAAGAGGAAAAAGGAAATGAGAAACAAATGAAACATATAAAAACATATAACAAGATAATGAATTTAAATTTAACCATATTACAATAAATGTAAATAGTCTAAACACACCTGTTAAAAATAAGAGACAATAAGCGTGGATATAAAAACAATACCCAACTCTAAGCTGTTTACTAGAAATCCACTTCAAAAGCTGAAAGTAAGGAATAGTAAAAGGATGGAAAAAGGTATATACTAACACTTATCAAAAGAAATCTGGAGTTGCTGTGTTAGTATAAAGATAATGTGGATTTAAGGGCAGGAAATATTACAAGGAAAAGGAGGATCATTTAGAATCATAAAAAGGACAATTCCTGAAGAAGAACCAAATCATCGTAAATATTTATACACCAAATAATAGAGCTTCAAAATACATGAAGCAAAAACTGGCAGATTTCAAAAGAGAAATAGACAAATTCATAGTTAGTTGGAGTTCTCAAAACCTTTCAATAAAACAGGTAGAAAGTAAATATATGGAAGACCTGAAAAATGCCATCAACAATGACAGCAGAATACACATTATTTTCAAGGGCACATAAAACATTCATTAAGATAGACCATATTCAGAACCATAAAGCAACTCTCAATAAATTTATTTATTTGTTTGTTTGCTTTTATTTGTAGAGATGTGTTGCTATGTGGCTCAGGCTTGTCTGAAACTCCTGGCCTCAATTGATCCTCCCACCTCAGCCTCCCCAAGTGCTGGGATTACAGGTGTGAGCCACCATGTCCAGCCTCTCAATAAATTTAAAAGAACTGAAATTGTGCAAATAATATTCCCTGACCATAATGAAATGAAATTAAAAATTAATAGCAACAATATCTGGAAACTTCCTAAATGTGTAGAAACGAAAGAGCATTCTTTAAAAAAAAAAAAAAAATCCCATGGGTTAAGGAAGAAATTACAAGAATAAGTATAAAATATTTGTACGAAATGAAAATTAAAGCAGGACTTAAATTAGTGGGATGCAGCTAAAGCTTAGAAGAAAATGTCAAACATTAGATACTTACATTAGAAAAGTAGCAAGAACCCAAATCAATGATCTAAATTTCTACCTTAATAAACTAGAAAAAAAGGATAAATTAAACCCAAAGTACAAGAGAAAACAGAGAAATTATACAGAGAAATCAACCAAAACAAAACTTTATTTTTTAAGACAGAGTCTCACTGTATTGCCCAGGCTAGAGTGCAGTGGCATGATCTCAGCTCACTACAAACCCTGCCCCCTGGATTCAAGTGATTCTCATGTCTCAGCCTCCTAAGTAGCTGGGATTACAGGCACCTGCCACCACACCTGGCTAGTTTTTGTATTTTTAGTAGAGATGGGGTTTCACCATGTTGGCCAGACTGGTTTTGAACTCCTGACCTCGAAGTGATCTGCCCGCCTCGGCCTCCCAAACTGCTGGGATTACAGGCATGGGCCACCTGTAACAAGGTGGAAACAAGAGGAAACAAGAAAGATATAAATTAGCAATAATAGAATTAAAGAGAGATGATTACTACAGATCATATAGGAATGAAAAGGATAATAAGTGAATATTATGAACAATTTTTGTCAATAAATTTAGCAACAGGTCAGATGAACAAATATCTTAAAAGACACAAAGAATAAAAACTCACTCAGGACGAAATACGTAACCTGAATAACAATATAACTACTAAATAAATTGAATTTAAATTTGAATTTGAAGGAATTGAAGCTGATTTTGTACTTTAAAACCTTCTCACAGAGACAACCCCAGGCCCAGATAACTTTGCTAGTGAATTCTACCAAATATTTAAGAGATAGTATCAATTCCATGCTAATTCTTCCAGAAAACAGAAGAGGAAGTTCCACTTTCAAACTCCTTTTATGAGGCTAGCATTGCTCTGAGACATACATATCACAAGAATAGAAAACTACAGAACAATATCCCTCATAAACATAGGTGCAAGAATTATCAACACACTTACAAATTGTAAAAACAAAAATAATACATATTTATAAATATATATGTATATATACATTAAAAATATTTGTGTATTGAAATATGTATGTGTAATGTGTGTGTATATATATAAAAGACATATGTACATGAGATACCTCATGACCAAGTGAAGCTTATCCTGGGAATTCAAAAGGGCTAGTTTAATGTTGGAAAATCAGTGAAATGCGTATATCAATGACACACAATCACATCAACATGTGTGAAAAAGTCCTTTGACAAAATTTAACATTCATTCGCAATTTTTTAAATTCTTGGCAAACTAGGAATAGAAGGAAACTTCCTTAAGCCAATAATGAGCAACTACAAAAATCTTCAGCTAATATTATAGTTTATGGTAAATTATGGAATGCTTTCTTCTTAAGATTAAGAGCAAGGATGTACACTCTCACCATCTTATTCAACAGAGTCCAAGAAGTCCCAGCTACTGTAATAAAGCAAAAAACAAAACAAAAAAAAACAACAGAAAACCAACAAAAAACAGGCCTATGCTATAATTATCAGCTTAACAAAATATGTGCATGATCTCTATGCTGAAAATTATAAAATGCTGAGGAAATAAAAGACCTAACTAAATGGAGAGACATACCATATTCATGGATTGGAAAATTCAATATAATAAAGATGCAAATTCACCTCAAATAGGTATTTAGGTTTAATATAATTTCTATCAAAATTCCAAGTTTTAAAATACACATAGACAAGCTTATTCTAAAATTTATATGGCACTTTGGGAGACTGAGGCGGGTGGATCACTGGAGGTGAGGAGTTCAAAACCAGCCTGGCCAACATGGGGAAACCCCATATCTGCTAAAATACAAAATAATTAGCCAGGCATGGTAGTGGGCACCTATAATCCCAGCTACTCAGGAGGCTGAGGCAGAAGAATCACTTGAACCCGGGAGGCAGAGGTTGCAGTGAGTTAAGATCATGCCAGTGCACTGGCAACAGAGGAAGACTCCATCTCAAAATAAATAAATAAATAAAATAAAATATATACGGAAAGACACCACCCTAGGATAGCTAAAACAACAAAGAAGAATAAAATGAGAGGACACACTCTGATATTTAAGGTTTACACTTTAGCTACAGTAATCAAGACAGTATGGTACTGGTGGAGGGGAACCACATCAATGAATGGAATAGAATAGAGAACCCAGAAAGAGACCCACACAAATATGCTCCAAACTGATATTTAACAAAGGCACAAAGGCTATTCAACAGAGGAAGGATAATCTTTTCAACAAATGGTATTGGAGTAATTGGATATCCATAAGCAAGAAAATGAACATCTACCTAAATCCCACACTTTATGCAAAATTAACTCAAATTGATTATGGAGTTACTATGGAACTATAAACTTTTAGAAAAAGACATGGAGAGAATCTTCAGGATTTAGGGCTAGACAAAGAATTCTTAGACTTAATACCAAAAGCGTGATCCATAAAAAGAAAAACGGATAAATTGAACCTCATCAAAATGTAAAATATTTGTTTTACCAAAGACGATGCTAAGAGAATGAAAAGATAAGCTATGGATTGTAAGAAAATATTTGCAAGAGGCCGGGCGCGGTGGCTCAAGCCTGTAATCCCAGCACTTTGGGAGGCCGAGACGGGTGGATCACGAGGTCAGGAGATCGAGACCATCCTGGTGAACACAGTGAAACCCCGTCTCTACTAAAACTACAAAAAACTAGCCGGGCGAGGTGGCGGGCGCCTGTAGTCCCAGCTACTCGGGAGGCTGAGGCAGGAGAATGGCGTGAACCCGGGAGGCGGAGCTTGCAGTGAGCTGAGATCAGGCCACTGCACTCCAGCCTGGGCGACAGAGCGAGACTCCGTCTCAAAAAAAAAAAAAAAAAAAAAAAAAAAAAAAAAAAAAAATATTTGCAAGCCATATGTTCAACAAAAAATAAACTAGTATCTGGAATACATAAAGAATTCTCAAAACTAAACAGTAAAAAGCAAACAACCCAATTAGAAATATGGGCCAAAGACAGGAATAGAGGTTTCACTGAAGAGGATATACAGAAAACAAATAAACACATGGAAAGTTGTATAACATCATTAACCATTAAGGAAATGCGAATTAAACCCACAATGGGATATCACTAACACACCTAGCAGAATGACTAAAATAAAAAATAACAATAACACTGTTATCACTATCTACAGAGAAAATAGATCACTCTGTATTGATAGTGGAACTATAAAACGGCACAGCCAATCTGGAAAACAGTTTGGTGGTTTCCTGTGAGATTAAACACGCAACATGACCCAGCAGCTGAACACAAATGGAAGCGTATGTTCATGGAAAAACCTGTACACAAATGTTCATAGCAGCTTTATTTGTAACAACCAAAAAAGAAACAACCCAGATGAACTTCAGTGGGTAAATGGTTGGACAAACTGTGGTGCATCCATAACATGGAATACTTCTCAACAATGAAAAGGAATGAAGCCCTGATTTATGCAACAACTCGGATGGATCACAAGATAATTATGCTGAGTGGATTTCATCAAAATTAAAGAGTTTTGTTCTTCAAAAGAAACTGTCAAGAGAAAGACAAATATCACGTGGACTTACTTTTATGTGGAATCAAAACAAGTTGAACTCATACGAGTAGAGAGTAGAATGGTGGATACAAGAGTGCAGAGCGGAGGAGGTCACTGGGGAAGGGAGAGATGTTAGTTAAAGGGTACAAAGTTTCATTTGGGAGGAATAAGTTCTAGTGATCTATTGCATAGCACAGTGACTCTAGTTAATAATTTATGATATATTTCAAAATTACTAGAAGAGTAAATTTTAAATGTTCTCACCACAAAGTAATAGGTATGGGAATTGTTGGATATGTTAATCAGTCTGATTTTAATCATTCCACAATGTATAGATGTATCAAAACATCACATTTTACCCCATAAATATATACAATTATTATTTGTCAATTAAAAATAAAATTAAATTCTTTTAAAAAGACCAAAGGCTGGGCATGGTGGCTCACACCTGTAATCCCAGCACCTTGGGTGACTAGGAGGTCAAGGCTGAAGTGGGCCATGATTGTGCCACTGCACTGCAGCCTGGGCAACAGAACAAGACCCTGTCTCAAAAAAAAAAAAAAAGAAAGAGAGAGAGAAGAGAAAAAATAGCACCCTGTTCCCCCGCAAAAAGCACTGTTAAGAAGAGGCAAAGGCAGTCCACAATTTGGGAGAAAATATTTGCAAAACATAATTGACAAACACTTTTATTCACAATAAAGACCTCTTACAATTCATTAATAAGAAAACAGACAACCAACTTTAAAATGTCCTAAAGATTTTAGAAGACATTTCACTAAAAACATATGTAGATGGCAAAATGAGCACATAAAAAGATGCTCAGCATCATTTGTCAGTAGGTAATTGCAAATTAAAACTATAACTTAATACTATTACACACCCATTAGAATAGCTACAAATTTTTAAACTGGCCGTTAAATACTGGAGAAGATGTAGAGCAATCGGGACTCTTCTACACTGTTGTAAGAATATAAAATTATACAACTGCTTTGGAAAACAGTTGAATTTTTTTTTTTTTTTAAGTTAACCAAGACCTATCATAAAATCCAGTCATTCTACTTCTAGGTATTTATGCAAGAGAAATGAAAGCCTTATCCATATAAAGGCTTACACCTGAACGTTTACATCAGTTTTAATTTTCATGGACAAAAACTGGAAATGCCAATGTCCATCACCATGTGATAAAAAAAACACATTTTGATATATTTTTTTCATGAAGCAATATGACCTAAAATTTTGGTACTTCTTAAGAAGCCAGATTAAATAATATAGCACAGACTATGTAAATTTGTCTATATAAATTTCTAGAAAATGCAAATGATTCTATAGTTACAGAGAGAAAATGGCTGCATGGGGACGGGGGTGGAGAGAGAAAGGAATTACAGTAAGACATGAATCAACTTTTATGTGTGATGAAAATATTCATTATCTTGATTATGGTGATGGTTCCACAGATATCAGCATTCACAGTATGTCAGCATTTATCAAATTATATACTTTACACATGTGCAGTTTATTGTATGCCAAGTATATCTTGATAAATCTCTTTTAAAATTCCTAGAAGGATTGATCAGGAAAAAAGGGGAAAACCCACAAATTGCCTGTATCAGAAATAAAGGAGGGGTACCCTTATAGATCCTATAGACATCAAAGGCATCATAAGAAAATATTATGAGAGATTCTATGCCAATAAATTCAACTACTTACATGAAGTGGGGAAATTCCTAGAAAATACAATTTACCCACACTGGCACAACTTGAAAAAGATACTCAGATTGTTCTAATATCTATCAAAGTTGAATTTGTTTTTAAATCCTTTCCACAGGGAAATTTCAGCCCAGAGTATTTACTGGTAAATACTATTAAACACTCAAAGAAAAAATAATACAACTCTTACATAAACTCTTTCAGGAAATGGAGAAGAAAATAGTTATCAAATCATCTTAGAAAGTTAGTATAATCTAGATACCAAAATCTGAAAAAGACATTATAAGAAAATTATAGACCAATGTGCCTCATGAAGCAGACAGAAAAAAATCCCTAAGATAACATTAGGAAATTTAATTCAGTGATATACAAAATAATAATACATCATTATTAAGTGTTTTTTTCCAAGGAACATTTAAAAATCAACCAATGTAACTCACCATATTAACAAAATAAGCTGGCAAAACAAATGTCCATCTCAAAAAATACAGAAAAAGTGACAAAATTCAGTGCCCACTTATGACACAAATTCTCAGCGAACTTGGACAAGAAGATAACTTTTGCAAAATGATAAGGGACATCTACGAAAATTCTAGTAAACATCACATTTATTGCTGAAACATTAAAGGCTTTTCTTCTAAGATTGGGAACACAGTAAGGATGCCTGAACTCACCATTTCTCTTCACCAATGCACTGAAAGTCTAGCTAGTGCAATAAGGCAACAAAAATAGAAAGCATATAGACTGGGATAAAAGAATAATCCTCCCTATACTTAAAAATGCCATGACTGTCTACATGAAAAAAAAATTTAAAGAATGTACCACAATAACCATTAGAACTAATAAGCACATTAGGCAAGGTAACAGAATACAAACCACATATATAAAATTAATTACATTTTTAATTTTAGCAGCAAGCAATTAGAAATGAAATTTTAAAACAATTCCACTTATAGTAGCATCAAGGCCCATACAATAACTTTATTTTTCTAGGAATAACTTTAAATATGTACAAGCCTTACATGTAGAAAAGTAGAACACATTTCTCAGAGAAATTAAAAATCTAAATAAATGGATAAAAACCACATGTGTACCTTACAGACTCTGTATTGTTTAGATGCAAATTCTTCCCAGACTGAACAGATTTTTCTAGCTTCAACACAATTCGAATCCAAATATGAATAGAATTTTTAAATAACATTGACAAATTGTTTCTAAGATTTAAATGGAAATGCAAAAGGCTTAGAACAGTTAAAAAGAAAAAAATCTGATCTTTAAAATAAACAACCAAGTTGGAGAACTTGAACTTACTGGTTTCAAAATATATCAGAAGCTACAGTAATCAAGATGGCGTGGTACTGTTGGAATCATAGACAGATCAATGGATCATAATAGAAAATAGACATCAACTTAGACATACTCAGTTAATTGATTTTTTAAAAAGGTATCATGCCAAGTGAGGAAAAAAAGCATCTTTTCAGCAAATGGGCTAGAAAAACTAGGAATATATATAGAGGAGAAAGAGTCTTGACTCCTACTTCACATGACAAATAAAAATTAATTTGAGATGGATGGATCATAGACCTAACATAAGAGCTAGAACTATAAAACTGCTTGCAGAATACATGAGAAAATATCTTCATGGACGTGAGGTAGGCAAAGATTTCCTAGAGAGGACCCCAAAATTACTGATCACAAAAAGAAATACTAACAAATTGGCCTCATCAAAATAAAAAACTTCTGCTTATCAAAAGTCAACATTAAGAATATGAAAAGGCAAGCCACAGTTTGGGAGAAAATATTTGCAATATGTATGTCTGACAAAGAACTTATATCCAGACTATTTAAAGAGCACCTACAGTTCAATAATAAAACAGCATAACAACAACAACAAACAGAAAAAGACTTGGATGGATATTTCACAAAAGAAGATACACAAATGGATAATAACATGTAAAGTTACTCGATATCATTAGTCATCAGGGAAATGTAAATTAAAAGCACAATGAGATACCAAGTCATACCTATCAGAAAGGCTGAAATTCAAAAGATTGATGATACCTGCTGTTGGTGAAAACCTGGAGCAACCGGAACTCTCAGACATTGCTGGTGAGAGTGCAAAATGGTGCAGCCACTTCGGAAACTTTCTAGATTTCTTTAAAAGTTAAACATACAACTACTCCATCACAAAACAATTCCATTCTTACATGTTCACTTAAAAGAAAAGACAATGTATGTCCACAAAAGCAGGCACAACCCAAATATCTATTTATAGAAGAATGAAAAATTGTTGTATATCTTTATATGATGATATATTACTCAGCATTAAAACAGACACATGCAAGAATGCAGATGAATCTGAAAACTGTCATATTCTATAAATGAGTACATATTCTATGATGACATGTATAGGAAGTTCAGATCAGAGAAGAATGATCTATGATTATGGAAACTACACCAGTCCAGTCTAGTGAGTGTGGACTGGAAGAGTCATGAGGGAACTTTTCGGAGAAACAGCAATGATATCTGTCTTGATTGGGGTGGTGATTACATGGTTATTTGTATCACTCACAACTCATCAAATTGTACACTTATCTGTGAATTGACTGTATGTAAATTTCATCTCAATAAAAAGTTATGACATATTGTTATCATACTGTTGAAAACATATTGTTCAACCTTCAATTAATGTCATCACATCCTCGTATGCCCCATTTAATGTTCTGAATTTGCTCCTCAAAAAAATCCATGACAAAACAGAAAATGATAATAAGGCAAAAAAGCTCAGAGGCTGGTCTGAGCTTTGAGTCTTCCTCTAGGACCGTAGCTGGAGGAGCAAAGGTTTCAGGCTGGGGAGCAGGCACTGGCATCTCCACCCCACTGAGTACAGCACCAGGGACAGGCACCTCCCTTCCTCCACTGTCGCAACCTTGTAGCTATAAATGGCAATCTTGACAGGCATGTTCAGGGGCTGGTTGATCTTGTCACCCACTGTCTTCAACAGGGACATAAAAACCAGGAGGAACCACATGAAAATCAAAGCAAATGTGATAACAACCCCAACTCCATATTTCCCAGCCTCCTCTTGTGCCCAGGAGACTGGGATGTTTCTGCTGAAGAGGACAGGCAGGTCAGGGCCATGCCTTGGATCAGACAGACATGGACTCAAGGGAGGGCAGGTTGGCAAATCACTCTTAAAAGTTAGAGGAGGGTGGGTGATTCAGAGAATGTCACACTGGGGTCAGGGGGAGCTGGAGTCATGTCCCAATGCCACTGCTAACCAGCTATGTGACCTTGGATGCGCAGCCACTCTGAGCTTCTGTCTCCTCCTCCGTAAAATGGGAATGAAAGGATGTCTGCTTTGCCAGGTGGTTTTGAGCACTCCCAAGTGATGGTGGGAGAATTCAGCATGGGCTCTGCCATTTTGCT